TCCTTTGAAATGGTTTCCTGCTGCCTTCAAAGCACTGTTGCATATTCATCTTAACTTCATCTTAACAACTATCCTATCAAGAAGGAAGGCAAAAATTCTACCTATGATGTAAAAGTCACCAAGAAACTTGTTAAAAACGCACATTTCTTCACACTACAGATTCTTATGCAATGCATTTGAGGTGTGGCCTTGAATCTGAATTTTCAAAATTATGTAGGAATGGGTGGGTGAACTTTTGAGAAATGCCAATCCCTTAGTAATAGAGTTGGTAAGTTACACAAATTTCTGGATTGTGATGTTTGAGGGTGGAAACTGAGTCCCATTTATATCAGTGTCTTTACCAAAGCATAGCATTTTGCTTTGCACATATTATGTTCTTGACCAATGATAACAAAGTTTAGTGGCCAGGGGAAGGCATCTGAGCAGCTCTGTTTAAACAAGGTCAAAGCCATGGACATGAGTCTTTCCAGGGACTGGAAAAGTCTTATTATTTGATTGGCATATAGAATACATGTTGGGAAGTATTAGAGATATGATCACAAAAATAATTTCAGATCACATTGTGGAGGACCTTGAACTCAGGGATTTAGCCAGTTCAGAGCAGTGGGAAATGCTGAGTAGCCACATCTATTCTATGCATTGGGAGTGCAAGGTAGACAAGTGCAGTGTCAGCTGGGGTTTATTTCCACACTAGTACACCACCATCTTAATGCCAGAACAAAGCAATTTGCAAGGCTTTTGTGTGAGCAAACTCAAAACAATTCCTAAAGCCTTGACATTTCCTAGGCTGTAATCTGCAGCCATGCTCTGGGGGAGGAGACCTAATCCCACTTCAGTTAGCACCTGAAGGGTTCTGGCTCCTAAATCTTCATCTCCAGCCAGCATCTTTGGAGTTCATGATCTCAAGTGCTGCCTGAATTCTCTCCCCAGACGTGCTTCACGCACCTCAAATGTCACTGCCAGCCATGCAGACCCAGCCTATATGCCAACCTTTTTTCTGTCTTTCCAATCCTGGTTTAGGGTATTTGCCTATTCACTTAGGTATGACACCAAAATCTTTTTTGACTCATCTTTCATCCTTATGCATATGAACAAAGAGCCTTGAGTATCCCATTTTTTAGATATTGCCCCTTTTCTTACCACTAGGAAGTTAGAAATAAAAAGGATAATTTTTATTTTTTCACATTTCCATGCACATGATTTCTCCCAATTCAGCCAGCTATAATCATCTATATCCAAAAGGATGGTGATGGAAAGGGAATTTTTATCATAATAGGAAAATGGAGGAAAGGGGCTCAGTTTTTATGAGCTGATACAAAAATAGGAATTCAGGGTTCTAAATAAGATTACTATTCAGGTAAGGACTTTATCGAGAGAAATTCTTTGTATGTTCCTTAAAATATCAGCAACATACCAGGAACTGGTCCTTTTGGGAATAAATATTGATTTTTTTGTCTTATTGTGGCAATAATGGGAAAATTATGTATATTTAAGGAATACGAATTAATGTTTTGATACACATATACATTGTGAAATGATCACACTAAGCAAGTTAATTTCACAATCATTGCAATCACAGTTTTCTTTCTTTAATTTTTCTGTTACTGTTAGAGCACTTCAGATTTACTCCCTTAGCACTTCCAAGTTTACAGATCAGTATTATTGACAGTAGTCACCATGCCATGCATTGAGTCACTAGAATGTCTTATTATGCAAGGCTAAAACCTCATACTCATTGACAAACATCTCATTTCTCCTCCCCTCACTTCTAAGCAGTCACTGTTCTCGATCCTACATGTAAATGAGATAATGCAGTATTTTTCTATGTCTGGCCTATTTCACTTAGCATAATGTTCTTTGGGTTCATCAGTGATACTGCAAGTGGCAGGACTTCCCTTTTAAATGCTCAGTAAAATCCACTTCTGGATATAGACCCAAAGGAAACCAGATGAAGATTTTAAGAGACACTTGCACCCTCGTGTTCACTGCAGCACTATTTATAGTAGTCAAGATATAGAAACAATCTAAATTTCTGCCAACAAATGACTGGCTAAAGGAAGTATAATATATTAAAAATATTGAGTTTATGATAACTGAAGTCCAAAGAGGTCTCATGCCCTAGAGGAAGACCTAACCCAGAAGAAAAGGACCTAACCCAGGAGAAAAGGACCAAACCTGTGGTCCAGCAAGGAGTGAGGTGGGATGGGCCCCTTGGACCCACATGTCCTTATTCGTCCCACCTGGCTCCCCAGAGTCCATGGACATTAGGGGCTCAGGGAGCTGTGCAGGGTAAAGGACATGGCCTATGCGTCATTCAGAGCCCTAGGTGGAGGTGGCTGTACTGAATGGCCTCCCAGCAGCACAGAGCAACAATGGTAGTGCTTCAGTGGAACATTCAGTGATCCAGACTCCCTCCCTGCTGTGTGGGATGTGGGTGCTACAATGTGAATATGGTCCTTCCTCACCAAAACCCAACTGGAGGTGTGGTTACCAATGTGACAATGCTGAGAAGTGAGGGGGGCCTTTAGAAGGTGCTTGGGGATCATGAAGAATTTATCCTTGAGGATGGATTGGTGTTTTTCTCATCGGAATGGGTTGGCTATCAAGGGAGTCCAACCTCCTTGTTTTAACCCTCACATGTGCTCCTGCTAGTGGTGCCATCTCCCACAGCCAGAGGCCCTTGTCAGAGGCAGCTACTAGATCTTGAACTTCCTTGCCTCCTGAGCTGTGAGTTAAATAAACCTCTTTTCTTTATAAATTACCAGGTGTCAGGTATTCTATATAGCAACAGAAAATGGGCTGAAATGCAGGGTTAGCAGGGTAGAAAGATGAATGATGTGAGAACAACTGAGAGGGATCAGCAGAAGCCACTCATGGGCTGATCCTACAGGGCACTCTCAGGCTCTCCTTGAGTCAAATGAGCAGAACAGAGGATAGAGAAAATGGTAGTTGAGTGCCCAGGGACCTGGTAGATAAGGAAGGCTACCGGGCACCCAATGAGCCCAGAGCCCACAAGAGACCTGCGAGTAATGCTAGAGACATTACATACACCTAGACATCTCTGAGAGAGAAGGACAGCAAAGAATAAGAAACTTGAAAAGCTGCACCTTTACCTGAAAGTCTGAATTATCCCATGGAGACTGCTAGAACCAGAAGAGACAAGGCATCCCTAACTACAACAATAAAAGGAATGAAGAATTGGTGCTATAGCCTAAAAAACCTTGAAAACATGCTATGTCAAAGAAGCCAGTCATTAAAATCCACAGATGATATGTGCCCATTTGTATGAAATGTCCAGAATAGCAAGTTTATAGAGACAGAAAATAGGCTGGGGGCAGAGGAATGAGGGGAAGTGGGTGTGACTGCTAATGGGTAAGAGGTTCAGGTGATGAAATGTTCTAAAATCCAGGGTGGTGATAATTCACAACTCTGTGGATGCGTTAGAAAGCATTGAACTGTACACCTGAAATAGGTGATTTTTATGTGATGTCAATAAAGCAATTATTTAAAAATGCCCTCACTTGGGCAGTGTGTTTCCTCCATCCTCCACTGCTCAGATGAGAGAGAACCTGTGAGGACAATAGAGAACGCAGTGCATGGACCTTCTTCCAATCCTCAAAGTGCTGCCACTGCTTCACCCTGACTTTCTCTTCAGTTTCATACCTTTTTGGCTGGTTAGTCACAATGACTAAGAGAAACACCCCTTTGAAATCACATTGTTTAAAGTTTGACTATCTAGGCGGAGGTTTTTATTATTTACATTATATGTGTCATAGTGGTGAGGCCTCTCAGGAGTTTGTTTTGGCTTTAGAATCAGCAATCACTGATTTCCCAAACAACTGAGTTACTTTTATCTTCTAGGCATTGTGATGTATGAAAAGGATTGTTCTCTCTTGGTGTTGATTCCTGGAAAGCTGAGAGCCAAATCTGTGATTCCTGCCTTGTCATTACGAATACACACACACACAAACACACACACACACACAAGCTTGCATGCACACAAACACTCACATGTACACACACATGCACATGCAGTTATTTAGTGTGATCTCATTCTTGCCTTCATTTTGACCCCATCCTACCCTTGTTTGTACCTCGTCTTCTGCTTCTAATTTTTTCTTTTAAAAAATTTGATATATTCTACATAAATTTACATTAAAATTCTTGTTTTTTGAATAAGTAGAAGATAAATGAAACCTCCAGAACAACTCTTGAGTGTCCTCTTCCCCCTTCTCTCAAGTCTTCTTGTGACCTCTGTGGCTTGTTGTAGGCTCTTCAATATTCTTTCCAGACTCATGTCTCAACACATTCATCTCGCATATTTCTGCTAAAACAGATCTTTTAAAAATCACCACTGTTTATAAACCCTAAGCAAAACCCTAACCACCCTGAAGTAACCCTCGCTTGCTTTCAAAATGGTGTCCAGGTTTCTTTGTCGGACGTGTTCCTCTTTAGCACCTGACGTTGCCTCGCAGCTCCCTGGACTCCACCAAGGCCCTTTGTGTTCCTGAACTTTCTCTTGGCTTTTATACTCAACTTCTTCTCTGTCTTGCTCTGCTTGTCCAGATGTGCCCCCTGTGGACCCTGCTTGGATTGTGCTCAGAGAACCCCAGGGAGCGGCCTCCACTTTAGATGATTACTCAGGCCTGTCAACCCCTGTCAGCAGTGACTCCCTGGAGCAGGAACATTGCTGTATTCGTCATTGTTCCTTAGCAGTATGTTTGGTTTTTACTAATGATTACTGAATTAATTTGAGTATGTTAGAGTTGGCAGCTTATAAATAATACTGCCTTTTCTTCCCTTGCTACTACATTTTGAACAATAGAGACCAATGCTGAAATCAAACAAGGGAAGAGATAAAAATATCATGTCATTGCTGATAAATGTAGAGAGTACAGTATAAATGAATGACCAATCCAGGTTTTCTGCAACTTTGTCGAATACCACATATTGGAATGTGTCAGGTGAGGACAATTTGTATTTGTAAAGCACATATATTTGTCTGGAATCACTATCACTTTCTCCAAGAAAAGCAAGGTGGGCCTGGGCCTGCCCATGGCCTCAGCAATGGAAGTTGGGGCTGGGTGGAATACAGCTGGTCTGAAGACAGACCCCTGAGAGACGGAGTACCACACAAGGAATCTCTTTATTTCCAATTCACCGATCAGGTATGTTGTTCCTCCACAAAGTAAGGGCAGGGATAGGAATGGCAGCCATTTTCTCAATACTTTCACAGGTTTCAGTTTCCACTTTATGGACCAAGATGGTGGAACTGAGAAAGAGAGCAAGTGTGTTAGACAGGGTCTCATAAGAAACACAAAACATTTCTTGCTGATCTGAGCAAAAATGATCTTGGCATTATTGTTGATCCACTGGGTGGAAAATAGAATTATACTTACATTAAAAAATAGTCCTTATTGGTTAGAAGTGCACAGTAAGATATTTATAGGTCAAATAACATAACTTGTACTTTAAAATACTTCAACTAAAACAAACAAATGAGCAAACACTAAAAAAATAAAAATAAGGTATGAGGGTAGGAGCAAAAAACAGTGCACTGATTGGCCAAATGTTGACAGTTTTTCAAGTGGGTTGGGATAGGTCACTAGACATTCCTGATGCTATTCCTTTCAGTGTTCTGTATGTTTGAATTTTCCCTTAGAAAATTCTCTGTGGGATATTGGGTAGCTTAGGGAATCTATGAGGTAAGATAGTCAGGAATAACACCCCACATCGTCTGTAGATGGAAGGCATGACTGCTACCCAGCACTTGTATCGGCCACACCAGCCATAGGCAGCAGGGGAAACAGCCTCTGTAGCTGCTATCATGGCTGAGTCCTGAAACCAGACCTAGTGGTCCCTCTGTCCTCTTGCAGCCAGAGGGATGTAGTGCAGTCTCTTCCTCATGACAGGGACAGGAGTACTGTATCTAGTTGGCTGAGTCTGGGTCAAAGTGACCTCACTGGGTTCTCTGGGCTGGGACAGGATGTCTGGAAGGCAGGAGGTGAGCTCTATGTGGTAATGAATTCCTTCTACCTAGGAAAGGGATTTAAGTCAGACTGTAAAAGAAGGATAAATAGTTATGCAAGGAGAAAATGGTTGTCTCAACACTCTGAAGTATGTTAAAGTTTTTATTAAGCTTTGCTGTGATCTATAGCTCTTTGCACTTGTGTAGTTCTTTGCAGTTTGCAAATATTTTCACATACATTCTTATCTAATGTTAATACTCTGGTGTTTATAGTTTTTGAGGTATTCTCATAAATATCCCTTACCACAACTTTATGAGTCAATCATCTCCATAGCACAGAGAAATAAATTATGAAAAAGAGAAGGGAAGTGACTCACCCAGGTTCCCAGAGCTTTAAGCAGTGGCCTCAAACTCCAAACCCTATGTAATTTTCACTGTGATGCCACCCGACTCTAACAAAGATTTCCAGCCAGTTTCAGCATTCATTCTTCTTTATCTCAATCCAGTATGGACTAAAATGTCATTGATTTTTATTCTCCTTTGGCAACTTTTATTAATAGCTTCTTTCTATTGTTTGAGAATTGTTTTAGGCAGACACGAGGGTACTAAAACTCTATAAGCAGTTAATTTATAGTTGCAAACAGAGTGCAAACATATATCCCAGGATCCTTAGGCATCACAGATTACTTGGTTCAAGTTAGCTGTGGAGAGGCTGGTAGCTCCAAGAGAAAGGTGGTGAGTTAATGGTCAAAGAATTTGAAGTATGAAATGGGCTTAAAGTCAATTAACCCTGGAAAGTGAATTGGTGATGCAGTATACTATTAAGCCCCAAATGTAAAAAAAGAGAAAAGACAAAGACAAAAACCCAGCCAAGGTGATTGCTTGAGACTCACTGCAGCCTCCCCAAGAAGCATCGATGGAAGGGCACCTGGAGAAGAGCTGCAGAGCTGCAAAATGCCAGGGAGGAGTAGCTGCTCTGAGTGCAAACGACTGGCCTCAGCACATTCCAAGAGTTAAAGTGAGGGAAAAAAAGTGTGATTCAATGTCAAAAGAAGGCCCAGGTCCAGCAAGCTCTCCCCTGCTGCTTAATACAGGAAATATCTCCCAAACATCTACACTAATCCTCCACCAATACAATGAGAAATGAGCACTGCTGGCAGCCAAGGAGTTATTAAGCCAGGACAAAAAAATATTCCCGCCCATAGCAACAGAGCCAAAGATAACAGCAGGGAATAGCTGAGCTGCAGAGAAATGGCAGATACAAAACATTCAATCCTGGGAGCCCTACCAAAGCAAATGACGTGTGAGAAAAAGAAAGGGCTTGTTTTTACCCAAAAAGCTCAGCATTGCATTTCAAACCTTAGGAGTTGGTGGATAGCCCTGGCCAAGATGAGTTCGGTTCACGAACTGGAGTAACAGGCTGTGGACTGCACAGGCAGGGCTGATCCTAGGCGGCACCTGAGGCCTTCTGAGGTGGTCACTGGTGGCCACATACCCAGGAGGCACATGAATCTCAGCTGCTGTCCCTATTTGCAACACAGAGATTCCTGAACACTGTACTTAGGTAAAGAGAGAAATTTCCCCAGTAAATATTCCTCCAAAATGCTCCCTTTCTTGTCAAAGTGTTCACTCTCCCACTGTTTCCCCACATCCTCTGTTTGTGCTAGGAGAGGTGAACAACTAGGTAGATGCACTCACCCATCCCTGGTATCTCCTGGTTGCTGGTCGCCAAAAGGAGCAGTTCCATTTGTCATTTAATAGGAAGGTAGGCTCCTGCTCTGGGCTTCTGCAGGTGGCTGTAGCAGCCAGCGAGAAGGGAGCCAGAGCCTACACTTAGGCAAAAGTTGAACATGAAAAAATTTTCTATAACTATTGCTACCTACAAAAATACTTATTTTACATGTTCTTTGCAAGAAACTTGTTTGAGAGTCATAGGATTTTACCCCTATGAGGTGGAGATGATATAAGTTTGTTTTATGGAAGGGAAAGTGCAGCCAGGAGTATGTGACTGCTTTCTGTCCTCCTCCTCTCATTCTTCATCCCACTGGACCCTTCCTTGACCTGGAGAATACACAAACCAGACATTTTATTTTAGGATTCTTCTATGAGAAACATAAAATATATCCCGTCTTGGGAAATGGTCCCAATGTGATAGCCTCACTGGCCCATGGCAAAATTGTCCAAGTTCCTTTAATTTATACTTTCAAGGTTTCTTATTTTTATTAATTTTAGTTGAAAATATAAGCCACTATAATTCCAGATCAAAATGAAAAGTCTCCTGGCAACACTAGTGCCAAATCCACCCACCCCTGTTCCCATTTAAGCATGCTCCCCTCGTTACCCCATTTTTCCCCTTCCTCAGAGAAGAACTGTACATAGATGAAAAAACCATAGGCCATAGAGTAGAATGCAATATCCATTGTTGATGAGTTGATGTATCACAAATGACTCCTCCAAAACAATTTGTCTATGCTTGCTGTTCTCCAAATGGAGACTGAGTGACCCACTTTGGCACTATGTGAAAGTCACCCCAGGTCTTCCTCTTTCCAGTAATGATGAGCAATATAGGTTGGAGTCAGATGGCTCTCAACCATGAACAAATTATGTATCAGGTCTCAATTTCCTCATCTGTCAAACAGTGCCTACTGTTAGGATAACAAAAGATAAATGAAAATCTAATGAGATAATCTATTAATGAGTTTGAGAAGACTGGTACATAGTAAATGCTAGATATCATTCCTTTGATAGCCAAACTAAAAATTAAACAGAAAAATGAGGAAACTAAGTTTTTGCTAGTGACCTCCCAGTCTGTTCTTATCTTTAAGAATGTTGGCTCGGGCTGGGGATTTAGCTCAGTGGTTTCGCCGTCTGCCTAGCAAGCTCAAGGACCCGAGTTTGATCCCCAGTACAAAAAAAAAAAAAGAATGTTGGCTTATCTTCATATTTCAAATTATTGGGGCCAATTTTACACTCTTTAATCAGCAGTTGTCCGTCCAACTCTAGTTTGGTCTCATATTTTGGAAAGAGATTGGGCAGGTATGTCATAACTATGTCTTTTCCTTTCCTAATTGCTATGAACTCCCAGATTTCTCTGCTGATCAGTGCATGAAAAAGTTTCTTGATTTTTTAATCTAAGTTTAGCAGAGAATCCAAGAACATTTTCAAAAGAAACAAACACACAAAAATGGTTGGGGAAAAGCAGTTCATGTTTCTTAGATTACAGTCACCTCTCATTAGAAAGTACTGGGTCCTTACCTTTTATCCTCGTTATGACCTGGATAAATGGCAAAGGCTTAAAACCCACCACAGGCTTGGGTTGGTCCAGCTGCAAGTCAGGTAAGAATTCCATCCTGCCGGGAACCTTCTCCACATCCTTTGCACCAGCAAGGGGGCTCTCGTCCATTTCCTCTGGACTGGGCCTGCCAGGCCCACCTTCTTCTGGTCCTTTAGGTGAGAGGGACACTTTCTATCTCTGGGCTTTGGGGCAAGCCTCTCCTTTTACATCTCTCCTGGTATTTTGCATGGTTCCAAATTCTACCTCTGGTCTTGATCCTTTTCTCTCTGCTTGTTTTACTTTCTTGCAGTTTTTGTTTGGCTGAGGAACCGACAACCAGCCAGAAATGAAAACTGACTCTACCTTTCTCCAAAGCCTTTGGTCCTCATCCATCAGCCTAACATGGCAGTTGGGTCTGGCCTCCACGACAGCCACATCTTTCACTAGGGTCTGCTTGCCTTACATTCCCTCCTTTCAAGCCTTGGGCTTCCTTTAGAACCACCCTTTGGGGGTCTTGTTTCTTGTGGTCTAATTTGTTGTGGGCTAATTTGCTGGGAACTGATTTGCTGAACAGAAATAATTGACAGCTCCTTTGCTCAATCACTTATCAAGTCTCTCCTGCTTCAGTTTTCCAGCACTACCCCCTTCCTCAAATTCCCTTTGTTGACTCATTTCTCTAGAGGACGAAGGATCTTCTGGAATTCTGACGTCAGTTTTACAGAGTCAAACATACTATGTGTATACTATTTTCCACATCTTGTAGATGGAGAAAATACCATTTCCAACTAAAGAACTATATTCCTTGTGGCTTTGTGAAACACCTAGTTAAACAAGAGAAGTGATGACTTGCTTTTCTGAGGCAATAGATAAGAAATGTCATTGTCTTAGCCAATCCAATTCCATTTTATAAATTCCAGTTGTAACTGGTTTGCTGAAAGAATAACAGGCAAGTCTCCCAATACTGTTCAGGTCATGGCATATGTAGAAAGCTGTAACTGTATTGTAGCCAAAGTGATGCAGATATGTTAACCCACAGGGGTCTGCCTTCTCCAGGTCCTGCAGTTACTTAGAGAGATGAAGTATTATTAGCACATCCTTAATACACCTTGGTCAGGCCTAGGGCTAGGAAGTAACTTAATTTTATTTGTATATTGCTGCCCTTTGGACTTTCTCCATCCAATCTTCCTTCCCCAAGTCTGTATAAATTCTCACCAGTCCCCTTTGCTTTCCTAGGCACTTTCAAGCATACCATTATACTCCATCAAATTTAAATCAAAATGCAATCTCTGATGCAAATTTCTCCCAGCTCCAACCTGACTCAGAAACCTGGCTCTGCAAGGCAGCAAGCCCAGTTTTCTCTGTTCTTTTTTCTACTTTCTCTTTCATTTTACCCCACAGCTACAGGCTTCCTGAAAGGGAAAAAGGTAGAGAAATGCTCAGGTCTTACTTGGCTGGGACTATGGATCCTCTAGGTTGGTGCCTTCTGTGCAATAGACATCCCAATGCCAACTCTTTCTCCTGTGGACCAGTGGTGCCCCTTATAGTCTTTTTTATCTAACCCAAGGCTTGCTATCTTCTTTGCAGACCCCTCAGTCAAAGGAAAACCATTGGTGGAACTGCAAAGCATTCCGCAGCTCTTCCACCCTCAGCTTTTCCATCATATGCAACTCAGTGCCTCTTGGATCCAGGACACAAGACAAAGAAGCCCATCTAAAATCATTCCAGACCCCTGGGGTGTCCTGGGGCTGTGCATTTCCCATTCTCAGAGCTCCTCAGTGGACTCAGCCAATCTCATACAGGTATCACAAGATGAGGAATATATGAAGGCTGAGTCACAAAACTCAGTTTTTTGTTTCTTTAACTTTTAAGGTTTAAATTTTAAAGTTGTTTTTTTTTTTTTTTTTAGCTATGAGCAATACTTACTGGCAGGCTGCAATTAATAGTCATTGAAGTCCATCATTGAAGAAACATGTTGCCACTTCTGATGTCACCATCCAAGTCTGTTTGGAACCCTGTAACTCTTGTCAGGATGTCTCAGCAGTACCAGAGTGCAGCGAATGTCTTCTCACGTCATACCCTTCTCAAAGTCCACACTAGGCTTTTACGTTCTTTGTGCCCTGGATGCTGCAGCCTGTCTTATGACACATCATCAAAGTCCCCTAAGACTCTCAAATGATTACTTTTCAAATGAGAGAATTTTAATGCCTTCCAGGAAAATGTAGATGTTTTTCTTAGACATACTGTGCAAATCCCATGCAATATACTAAATGATCTGCATGAAGATGTTTGGGCGGTCCAATCCCTCAGAGGGCAGGCTGCCACATTCCTTACCTATGAGCAAAGCTTTCTAGGTGGCATGGAGAGGTGAAACCCAGGCTTCTGCCTCTTGATGCCAAATTTCTCCTGTTGATGCTTGTCACAGCTGGGAGCATGTGGAATGGGTATCCAGCATCACCAAGGTAGTCCTTGCATCATAAGAGTGACACTTTCCAACCTCTTGCTGGAGTACCTGACTCAGGACTGCTGTGAAAATGTTAGGGAACCAGCTGCCCAATATATAAAGAGACATAAAAGATATAAAGCAAAAAATAAAAACAACCCCCACCCTAAAATTCACCAATAAAAACCCTCCCATCCTTGTTACCCGAACTGGGGGCAAATCTTTTCACCTAATTTTGTACTGTAAGTGATGTCACCATGGATTGTTCTACCAGAGGAAAAGCATAAAAGCATTAGAATGTCAAAAAATAAAAGCATTTAGAATGTCAAAAAAAAAGGAATCATACAGTAGATAATTTTTTAAAAATGGCTTCTTTCATTGGCTATAGTGTTTTTGAGATTTGTTTGGGTTATTGCATGTACAATTTGATTCTTCTTATTTCTGTATAATATGTCATGGTATCAATGTAGCACTGTTTATTTTTCCATTCATTTGTTGAAGGACATTGGGTTAATGCAGTTTCGACAATTCTGAATAGAGCTACTATAAACATTATTGTCCAGGTTTTATGTTACATGGATTTTCATTTTTCTAGGAAAGGGTTTCCAAACTGTAGCACCACTGATATTTTGGGGCAGATAATCTTTGTTGAGAGTGGGTTACCCTGTGTATTTGGGGAGTTTTAGCAGCATCTCTCATTTCCACCCACTAGATGCCAATAGCATTCCCTCTCCTGTATGTGATAAGGAAAACTACTTCCAGACAAGGGGAGCAGGGGTACCTTCAGCTGAGATCAATGTTCTATGGTAAATGTCCAGGAGTGGAATTGCTGAGTCACATAAGTATATGTATAATTTTACAATAAATTTCCAAGCTCTAGTTCAGAGTGTCATTTTGCATTCCCAGTGCTGAGACTTTCATTGGCTGGATATCCTCTCCAACACTTGACAAAGCTCCAGAGTAACTTCTTCCAGGTCATCAGAATGGACTAGCAGGAAGAAATTCATTTCCTCCTTGGCTATCATAACTTTTATGTGTAACTCAGGACTCCGTCCTTGACTACTCATCCCCCAAAATTAGACCACTCTTTCTTTGAGGGCAGGGAGGGTAGGTGCTATAGATCAACTGCTTACCAGGACTCCTAGGGTCTTCATGGAAACCTGACATAGCTCCTTTAGGGCCAAGGTTTCCAAAGGTTGCCAGGGGTTCTCTGGGGGTTCCTAGAGTCTCCTGGTAGGAAAAGATAGATAATTGGATGAGGAATGAGGAGTCAAAGTGGCAACCATTTGCTTGATTTGGTCTGAATAGTCTGATTGTTTTATCATTTCTTTTGAGGGATGATTATTTGGGGTGTCCATGATGGAAATGAGAATCTCCTGAACACTGATGCCTCTTTCTCTGGGGCCCTGTGCCCTCTTCCTAGTACCCATCCTCTGCATAAGATTATCCTCAAGAAAAGGCCTCCTACAGCTGTCTACTTTATCAGGTAAATGCCTGATCTCTCAGGCTCCAGCATCTTAACAGATAGGGTCTTATCCATGGAACACTCCTCATCCAGTGGGATGAGCTTTGGGTATGGGATTATAAGGCTTGGGATCAGCTCTTGAGGCCTTCTTTGTAAAGCAAGAGCTTCTGAAGGATCTCTTTTCCCACAGCTTGAATGTAGGATTGATAAGAGGTGAAGGCAGAACCAGAGGCTGATGCCATTCAGGTGCCTTCTTCTCCATGTTGGCAGGGCTCAGACCCTGATCTATTATTGATGTGTGGCAGTATGACAGCATCTCATAGTTTCCTGCTCAAAGTACTTGATCTTGTTCACATCTACTTGTTCAGTATCATCTGATTAAAAATATAAGCATTCTCTCAGTTTGTCCCCTATACCATATGACCACTGTCTTCTTCATGCCTTTGTCAATCAGCTTTCTAGGGTATCCAGGATTCTCCATTTGCTTTGCATCCAGAGCATCTCACTTCAAGGAGGATATATAATGAATTCTGTGACTTTAACAAAGGCTTTTATAGTCCTGAATGGTCTGGGTCCACACCCTCAAAAGGAGATGCTAGTCCTTGAGAAGAAGGTTTGGTTGTGTTTGGTTCTATATGTACTTTTTCTTCAAATGAGGCTTAACTTAGCTGGTTATGACTGGTAATGACACTACTTTTTCTTAATCTTTATTTGTGCCTGCACCACTTATGCTGTATTGGAGCATCTAGAAATCCCAGGCCCTCTTCCATAGTTTATGATGGAGTGATTTTCATTGTGATCTCTTTGGTGGTGTTGGACACTGTGTTGAGTGACTTGTATTCCTTCTTTGCAAAGGGAAGCAGTGTATCATGAAGCAGCTGTGGAGTGTTAATACTTGAGGGGAATGGGTTGATGCTCATATTTGTCAGAAATTACCACTTTGCTAAATTTTTCTTCCAAGGCCACAAAGATGATATTTCTGGCTCTGGTCTAGTGGAATAGAGCTTGACATGCCTGTATGCTATGGTTCAAAGAGAGTAGGCTTCTTTTTAATCTGGGACCTACCTCCTGAGCCCAGCCTTCATTTATTAAGGATGAGGGATGTGCCTTTTTCCTTTTGTTGACATTTTCTTTTCTTTGTCAGTGAGCTTGGTACTGCTCTGGAGCAGACAACACCCCCCGAAACACTGTCAAGAACTGAGAGTGAATTCTGAAGCTCTTCCTTCTTAATTTTGATCAATTGTTTCACCAGCTTGGCTGTATTACTTTTCTTGAGATTGTCCACTATGAGCAGATGTGTCTCAAAATAGGCAGAAATCTGCAAGAGAGAAATTTTCAAGAACATGTGATGCCCTTCCATTTATCTGGTCTTCTTTAATTTATTTAATTCATTAGGCTCTCTATGCCTTTGATTGATGAATTCAATCCATTTATATTTAAAGTAATTATTTATATGTGAAAATCAACTACTGCCATTTTGTTACTCTTTTGCTCTCATCTTCTTCTGTTATTTCATAATTTTTGTATCTACTTTTACTCTTTTCCCTTTACCTTTTGGGTATGCATAATAGGTATCTATGATTTCTGCATAAATATCTTATTATTATAACAATCTATTTTAAGTTAACAACTCAACTTCAACTGCATACAATATTTCTACCTTTTTCTCTTCTGTTCTTTGTGTTTTTTCACTTAGAGATCACTTCTTTTTATATTGTGTACCCATTAACAATTTTATGTTTTAATTTTAATATTAAAGTTAGTATAACTTATCTACCACCATTACAGTGTTATATCAATCTATGTTTGTCTGTTTAAATACCTTTACTTGTGAGATGTATGATTTCATATGCTTTTGTGTTGTTGTTTGGTGTTTTTCATTCTAGTTTGGAGGACTCCTTTAAGTGTTCCTTGTAAGACAGGTCTAATAGTTACAAACTGTCTCTGTATTTGTTTGTCTGGGAAATATTTTACTCTTATTTTTTAAAAGATAATTTTGGGGATTATTTCTCCTCCTTCTCCCTCTTCATGCTGGGAATTGATTCCAGGCTTTGTACAGGTTGAGTGTATATTTATCCATGAGCTGTACTCCCAGCTTGGTAGAGTATTCTTAGTTGGCAGGGTTTTTTTTTTTAGTGTTTGAGTATATTATAACACTCTGTTCTAGTCTATAAGGTTATGAGGTTTCCTTGCATGTGATGAGTCTCTTTTCTCTTGTTGCTTTCAAAATTCTCTGTCTTTGACTTTTGCTACTTTGGTTTTAGTGTCTTTTGGCATAGTCTTTTAGTTGATCTTCTTGAAAGACCTTTACTATTCATAAATATGGATGTTCATATTCTGTTCAAGACTTAGGAAGGTTTTTGCCATTATTTCTTTTAATAAACTACCTTGTTCTTTACTCCCTCTCAGGTTCCTATAAGTGTATGTGGATATTGGCTTGCTTGATGGTATTCTAAATATCCCTCAAGCTTTCTCAATTCTTTTTCATTCTTTCTTTTATTCCCCTCTAATTGAATAATTTCAAATGACCTGTCTTTGAACTCACAAATTCTTGCATCTACTTGATTTAGTTTGCTACTGAGGCTCTCCATGGCATTTTTATTTCACTCAATATATTCTTTACCTCCATAATTTCTGTGTTTTAGGATTTATATCTTTTTGTTAAAATTTTCATTTTGTTCAAGTATTTTTTTCTGATTTTGTTGTCTATTTTCATACCTTTCTATCTTGCTGAATTTCTTTAAAATAATTATTTTAGATTCTTTTTTAGGCAATTTGTTGATTTCCATTTCTCTATGGTTTGTTACTAGAAGTATATTCCTTTGGTTGTGTCATATTTCCTCATTTCTTTTTAAAATTTCTTTACAACATTATTTAGATGTGTACATATTTGAACAAGCAATCATTTCTCCAAGAATGGATAGAATGGCTTTGGTGGAGAAGAATCTTCCTCTTTGTGTGGGTATGAGAGCAATAGCTAGTGGGATATGGCAGCTCTGTCTCTGGGCACAGTGGCAGCTTCTTCTCTTAGGTTGCAGTGGCATAGACTCTAGTCGGCTCTGTTACCTGAGGTCAGTATCAATGAAGAGTCTGGGAGTCATTGGTAGCTAAGACAGAAGATGTTCCCAGTGGTGTTGAGGGATGCTGGGGAGCTCCTATTCTCTATTTGCCATGGAAGAAATCATAGCTTACCCCTTTTGCCTCCCACGATCAGGTGTGTGTGTGTGTGTGTGTGTGTGTGTGTTTGTGTGTGTACTTGTGTTGCAGTAGGAGTAAATCTGGCCCTGGGAGAAAGGGTAGAGCAACAGCAACTGCTGTGGAGGCTTACAGTGGGCTTACATC